ATCAACCCTAGTCATTGTCCAGCTCTATGATGCACAGCAAGTGATTGCAAAGACCATGGCCTATATCCACTGCACCTTAATCTCGAGACTGACATCGTTGCTCTTCAGTACTCTGGAGGGGTTCCTGAAAACAGACTTTCCCAATGCAATTTCTTAGCTTGCATCACTGCCTCTGCCTTTTCTTCTGGATTTAAAGGTAGGGGAAAATAGTTCTTTAGGAATTGGTTTGTTCTAGACTTATTATTTTAAAATATCGACTATTCTTTTTGATTTATTATTGAATTACACTCCAGTGTTCCTCCAGGTTTGATGCAAGATTTTTAGTTCCTAAAAAACAATTACTTTTGAGTCAGCTCCAACTTATGGCAATTTCATGTGTTGCCATTCAACTTCATAGGGTTGTGCTTCATAGAACTTTCAAGTGACTGTTGTTTTATGGAAATATTTTGTGAAGTTTATTTAGCTCATAAACTAAGTAAATATTTTGTAAGGATCAGAGCAAGCTTTTTCCACATTAGAAGAGCTAGGACTTCTGGTTAGTTGTGGGGAAGGTGCTGGTATTTGGAGTTGTACGTTGCTAGTCGATGAAAACTCATAGCCACCCTAAGGAAGCTCTGGTGGTCTAGTAGAAAGAAGCTACACCACAATCCCGAAGGCGTGCAGTTCGAATCCACCAGATGCTCCACTGGAGAAGGAAGGGCAGTCTCCTCCTGTGCCTGTCGGATCCAATTTGATGGTACACAACAAGAAAAAAAGAAATTAAATTTTTTTAAATGTTAAAAAAAAATTTTTAAAATAACAACCTCATAGCAACCTTATGAACAATGTCGCTGAACCTTGCTCTATACTGTGCCATCCTCACAATCTCTGACATACTCAAGCTGGTTGTTAGTCACTATCTGTCCATCTTATTGAGGGTCTTCCTGTCTTCATTGACCCTCTACCTTTCCCAGCATGATGTCTTTTTCCAGTATACTCAAAGTACATGAGATAAAGTTTCACTAGCCTTGCCTCAGAGAAGCACACTGGTTGTACTTCCTCCAGAGCATATTTCTCTGCTCATTTGTCAGTCAATAGTGTGTTTAGTACTTTTTTCCAATGCCACAATTTCTAAGGCATCAGTTCTTTCTTCTTTAGTCTTCCTTATTAATTGCCTAACTTTCAGATGTAATAGGAAGCAATTTAAATACCCTGACGTGAGTTAGGCACACTTAGTATTTAAACTGACATTCTTGCTCTGTAACACCCTGGAGAAGCCTTCGACAGCAGATTTCTCTAGTGCAACATGTCTTTTAATTTCTTGGCTGCTGCCACCATGGGTGTTGATTGTGGGCCTAAGCAAAATGCTTTATGAACAACTCTAGTCTAATTCTCTTTTCAACAACAGGAGAAATTGACAATTTCAATCTTTTTTCGTCTATCATGATATTGTCTGTTGGTCCAGTGGTGAGGAGCTGTGTTTTCATGATGTTGAAATGTAATCCATACTGAAGACTACAGTTCTTGATCTTCTACAGCTAGCATTTCAAGTCCTTTTCACTTTAAGCAAGCAAAGGGGTGTGTGATCTGCACGATGCAGGTTATTGATGAGTTTTCTGATTCTGATGCCACATTATTCATATAATTCAGCTTGTCAAATGATTTGCTAAGCATAAAAAGTAAATAAGTGTGGGGAAAGGATGCAACTCTGACACACCCATTTCCTGATTTTAGACCATGCAGTGTTCCTTCCCTTATTACATTTGGACAGCAGTTTCTTGGTCTATGCATAGACATCACATGATACAGAGTAAGTGTTCTGGGATTCTAGAGTTTTGATATGAAATCACACAGTAGTTCGGTTTCAGTGCTTTGTACTAGAATGCTTCTTTACTAGAATACTTTTCTTTTTTCCTTTTAGATGTGTTATTCATCCACTTCATTCATCTTTATCCAGTGAAGAGCAGCAGGCTGTATTTGTAAAACCTCCTGTAGGTGTAACTAAAATTATAATTTCTACCAACATTGCTGAGACGTCCATCACCATTGATGATGTTGTCTATGTCATTGATTCTGGGAAAATGAAAGAAAAGAGGTATTATTTTGTTGATGTGAAAGGGAGACTAAAGAGGCCACATTAGGGAGACACAGCTGTTTGTAACTAAGCTACTTATAAAAATGTTTTTGAGACGTGCTTGTGGCTGTATGAATGATTCCAGAACTAGGACCATGAAGCCAAATGTAGATGGAAAGTTTTACCTTAGAAGTAATAAATTCTTTTTAACTCTCTTTTGCATGTACTTGAATTAAAAGCAGTTTAGTAAGACACTATATAGTGAGACTGGATATCATTCAAAATCAGCACTAGGTGCTTTCCAGGGCCTTTGTCTTTCATAGAAATCTGGTCCTCCTTCTGTGCTGCCTGTGCCAAGTAAAGCCTTGGACACTTCTTTGTAAAATAAGTCTCTTTTTCACAGTTTCCATTTCTTTGTAGATATGATGCCAGCAAAGGTATGGAGAGTCTAGAGGACACGTTTGTGTCTCAGGCTAACGCCTTGCAAAGGAAAGGCCGAGCTGGCCGTGTTGCCTCTGGGGTCTGCTTCCATTTGTTCACTAGCCATCACTACAACCACCATCTGTTAAAGCAGCAGCTACCAGAAATACAGAGAGTGCCACTGGAACAGCTGTGTCTGAGGTACAGCTTCATTTCCTTAAAATGCTTAAATCTCCTGTTTTCTTCTTCCTCATAGAGATTTGACTAAGCGGGACCTTGGATGAACTCATTCATTTGCAAAGAAAGAGCTCTTCAGTGTTGTCTTTACCATTCTTTTTCATTTTTGGAATAAAAATCTCTCTTACTTTGCAGAGGATGACCCTGAAATAGAGTTTAAGAATACATTTGTAAATCAGAAAGTAATTCAACCTATCATAGAGTTTTTCCTCTGGCAATCAGTATTAAATTGCAGAGGGAAATCTGTAGCCTCCTTGTCAATTAGTGCGATGTACTTAAAAACAACTTGATGGTACACCATTATTTACCTGAAGAGCAAACAATAACAGATACCATAAAATAGAATTTAAGTATTTTGTGTTACCAAGACTGAGAAATCTTTGGTTCAACCTTTTGAAAATTTGTCTGGTCTTAAATAAAAACTCTAAGGTTATCTATGCCTTTATACTGAGACTTTGAACTCTTTAGAGTGTAGTCATTGTATTTTTATGGATATACTCCATAAAAGTATATTTATAAAAGTAACCCTGAAGGGAAAGCAGTTACTTTTTATAAGATCTCCTAGTTCATCTTTCATCCAGCAAACAGATGTATTTGGAGAGCCTTCTATTTGACAGGCATAGGGCTAAGCAGTTAGGAATATGATAGAAAATAAGACATAGTCCCTGCTTTCAAGCCCAAGTCTGGTCTTAAGAAATTAGCAGAGGTGATGAGCGGAATTAAATAGCATAAATAAAGGATTAAGGGATTTCAGAACATTATGGAAGTTGACTGACCTGAAAGAGAATATAAGGAGAAAATGTAATATATGAAGGGCATATAATTTTTTAATTTTTTTATTGTTATTATTATTATTAATTTCAGTGAACATCTACAGAGATTTTGGAATTCCAGTCATTCATTGTTGCACTTTTCTCCCCGCCCACCCCACCTCCACCCCCAGTTCGCTCCTCTCCTTGAAAAGCAAAAGAAAAACTCCTTCATTTGTACATGTACATAATCCCCTCCCCCACCCCACACATCTCTACCACCACCCCATGTATACTCCACTCTGCAACCCTCATTCCGAATGAAGGGCATATAATTTTTAAAAACAAACATTGTAGGGAAATAGGTAAAATATATTGGCCAATACGGTTCATGCTTTTGAATTTTTTTTTTATAAAAGTAAATGGATTACAGCAATTTGTGTCTTTTAGGGGAGCAACTGGAGTAGAAAAAGCCTAGGTGCCAAATAAATACATGTAAAATCATGGAACATAAAAGCACATATATACATTGACATCTAAAAATGGGATTATAAATATGAAAAAAATAAAGCATACTGCCAAAGTTGGCAAAAGCATAGGATGGGAATATGTCAGAGAAGAAAAGCTCAAATAGTTGCCTGTAAAACAAGTGCTAGAAATTTTCTGCCCTGTCAAAAGCTAAAAACTTAAGACCGAAGAGCCTCAAGCCCATCTGTGGAGACCCAGCCCTTACAGGCTTCACTATATGTTATGGATATTTTTTTCTCCTCTCTTCTAAAATTATGCTTAAGTTTATCATTAAAATAGTACTTATTCAAGTACTTGAAAGGCAGGGAAACATTATTTTTGTTTAAACAGTACCTGGAAATTCAAACATAAAGAGTAAATGGATAGAACCATTTTGAAAATGTAAAGAGAATATTCTGAACCTTGAAAAGCTCCAGAATCTTCAAGTTTTTATCTTTCTTTATTGCTAGAGGAGCTAAGTGGCTTCTAAAACATGTTTTAAAAATACTCTCAATTATCACTATCAATTTATAAAATATATACTCGAGAAATGGTATATTATTTTCATTCATGAAAAGTACTGTCTTCCTCCTCTGTGTCATGCCCAAGGATTTACATATATGTTTTTGTTTTATTTTTTTCTCTTTGTTTAGAATTAAAATTTTAGAGATGTTTAGCACTCATCCTCTCCAGACTGTGTTCTCTCAGCTCATTGAACCTCCACACATTAATTCTCTCCGTGCGTCCAAAATACGATTACGGGACTTGGGAGCGTTAACTCAAGAAGAAAAATTAACCCCTCTTGGGTACCACTTGGCCTCTCTGCCCGTGGATGTGAGAATTGGCAAACTGATGCTGTTTGGCTCCATTTTCCGCTGTTTGGATCCTGCCCTTACCATTGCTGCCAGTTTGGCCTTTAAGTCTCCTTTTGTAAGTAACAACACAGGTCTCCAAGGAGTCTGTGAGGGCTGCTTTGGGTGTGCCAACCCCTCAAAATATCTTTGTATGTTTCATGTGAATCTTTATGGGCAGAATGTACATACTTTGGTCAGATCCTCAAAGAGGCCTATGTCCAGATAAAGACTAGGAACCAGAGGTTTGCATTACGAAGATAACCTACCTGTGGTTTAAAAAAATATCTGTTACGCTTACTAATAGAAAAATCAGAAAATGAAAATAAAATATCCCTAGTTGGTTTTTAAAATACTCAACCTTTTAGATCGATATAGGAACACCCAAGATTATCACCTTTAGATATCTTTGAACTTGAAACTGAGTGCATTCTGCAGGTCACCTTTCAATCATATAATAAATTGGCTTATAAAATAAACAGTAACACCATGAATAATGTTCTCCTTTATGCTTTATGAGCCCAAACGGCCAACATTTACTCAAAAGCAAAGCGAGAATGTAGAGAGGGGAGGAGAGCTGGGATAGTGAGAATGCTGGCACGTTGTGAAACTGTAACCAATGGCACAGAACAGTTTGTATAAAAACTTTCAAATAGGTGCCCACTTTGCTGTATAAACTTTTAGTTAAAATATTATTAACGAAGGAAAAGGTCTGCATTAGAGCTGCTCAATGTTTGACTTCAGGGAAACACTAAGGATTAAAAAAACCAAAGTGAAGCAGCATAATAAGAAATAAATTTTAAAAACTTTGTGGGACATAGAAAGAGTGACAGAAAACACTTGTGCACCGGCTATTCATCTGCTAACAAGCTACAAAGATTTTCAGTGAAAGGTTTTCACATTAATGAAACCAAAATAGTATGTATCCCCTCTCCTGTGCATAATCTCTCCCTGTGTGGCCCCAAACTGCTTACTGCCTTTAATAGGACTGGTTTTGTTTACTCTCCCCCACACTTGTTTTTTATAATTCTTTTCAGCAGTACAGAGATCCTTAAATTTACCCCATCAAAACATGCTGGCTTGCATGGTTTTTAACCATTGAAGACTTTGGGTTTGGGAGGAGAGCAGAGCACAGGAAGTAGTCAGTGCACTCTGTTCTGGCACCACCTACCTGCCTTTGTTTTTCCTACGAGTTCTTTCACAGAGGTAGAGAAATGCTGTAAGGTGCTCTAGAGTCAACTGCAATTCATAGCAGCCCCATGTGACAAAGCTCTGTCTTGAGGTTTTGTAGGCCGTAATCTTTTGGGGAGCCCATCTCCAAGTGTCTGTCCATTGGGGCTGCTGGGTGGATTTGAACTGCCAGCTTTTTACTTAGCTGCTAAGTGCATGACCATTCCACCACCCCATGCTTGGTCCACACCGTGTCAGTGCTGAGAGCAGAGCCTCCTTGGTCTGTGTGTCCAGTCATCTAAATAAGCCTTTTGTTGTTTTCTTTAATTGGAAAACTCAGAGGCTTTGTTAAAAAAGTTGGTATCAACCTGAGCCAAAGCTGAGCACTGACCAGAATCTGCTGGGTTCTATCAACATTAATTATTTAACTAAACAACATTAATCTCCCAGGTGGAATAACCTTTCCCCGTAGCCTTCATTCAAAGAAGTGAATTTTCTTTTCAAGTCAGAAGTACAGTTTTGTTCTGATTGTATTAGCTATGATGTTAGCCTAGTTAACCAAAGCTAGAAGGAAGCAATGTTGTTGGTTTAAGTGATCTCATAGATGTTGCAGCTAGATCATCGACTCGGCTGTGTGGGGTTACCACAGCCCCTTACACGGGAACCCTCAGAGCCTCAGGCTGCAGGGGACCATCCACGAGCTACAGTACCAAACAGGAGCAACCGTGAAAATGAAATTTCTTGATAATTTTAAAAAGTTCAAGGGTAAAAAAAAAGGACCTCTGAACCATTATGAAGGTATTCTGGGGGTCGGGTCTACAGAGAGTTGCGCAGTTAGCCCAAAGGCCATGCCTCTCTGGCAGTTCAGGTCCCCCATCTGCTCCCTGGGAGAAAAATAGGCACCCTCCTCCCATGTGATTTACAGCTTCTGAAAACCTGCTCAACTGTGAGTCACTTCCAGCTGGGAGACAGTGAATTCGAGTTACAAACATTAGAAAACAGGAGGAAAGCATTGGGCATGGATATGGAAGTAGGAGAGGTATACATGCAGAAAAGAACAAACTGTAAACTATTGATAGATTCAACAGTTAAAATTGTCTATCAGCTTTCAAGAATAAGAGCTCTTTGGTGACATCATGGCGCTAAGTGTTGAAAGTCTCAGAAGAGCTAAATTTTGGGTGAGCAGACAGACCCCTAAGACAGACCATCAGCTTGTCAGTTAATGTAGTTGTCTAACCAGCCGTGTACAGAGTGCTCTTTTGTTCCATGCAAAATGCTTTCCTGCACACTTGGCTTCTGCAATAAGAAAATGTCATTTACAACCGCAGGTAAATTATGTACTTTCAATCTGACTTTCCTCACTTAGGTGTCTCCTTGGGATAAAAAAGAAGAAGCTAACCAGAAAAAGTTGGAATTTGCATTTGCAAATAGTGATTACCTGGCCCTCCTACAAGCATATAAGGTAAGTCTGTGACCTCGCATCTGTCGGTTATAACCAGAATTGGATCTAAAGTCGGTTCTCTTTTCTCCAAAATTTAGGGTTGGCAGCAAAGTTCAAAAGAAGGTATGCGTGCAAGTTACAATTACTGCAGACAGAACTTCTTGTCTGGAAGAGTGCTTCAGGTGAGTCCTTTCCATGGCAGGTGCTTTTCATTGATTATCTCTGCTCACCAGAGGGAAATGCAACTTCCTTTCACCCATCCTGCCTTAAACGTTTAAAGTATTAGTGTCAGAGCTGTATCAAAGGTTCCTGCAGTGTGAGGTCAGGCTTCCTGTGCTGAATCCTATAACCAGCCCCTTTGTCATCTTATCTGTGGAAAGGTGATCTAAGGTTACTGCTTACTACAAGTCAGATTTTTCTCTAGCTCTGCCATGCGCTCTTCACCTGGATCCATAAAGTCCTGAAATGGTATGCAAAATTCTGTCTTATGTGATACAATTATTCTCACTTGGCAGATAAATAAAATTATGTACAGTGAGTGGGAGGGAAATTGTATCTTATAATGTGCATTATTCTGGGAAAGGATTCATAGCTTTCATCCTCAGCCCTTTCACTTTCCCCAAAACCAAAGAACTAAAAACTCCTCAACTAGATTTTCTTTTTCAGTTTTTCTTCTACCCATCAGAAGCTACAGTTTAGCCAATAATGGGTACACAAGAAAAGCGTACTGTCTCTGTCTTGTAATGTAAGGGTTTCTGTACTTAGTTGTAAGAGTGTTGGAGATCCCCTTCCAAACTAATAGGAAAAACCAGAACAAACATGCACAGATTTGCAAAGTATCTGTTCCACTCAAAGATTTGGGAGTGGGAGAGGAAGAACTTTATTTTCATGTTAAATATTGATGATGTTGTTGTTTGCCGTTGAGTCAGAACCAACTTATAGCTGAATCTTCAGAGGGTTTTCAAAGGCAGTAAATCATGTGACAGTACATCTTTCTCCCATGGAGCAGCTGGTAGATTTGAACTGCACACTTTGGGATTGCAGTGCAGGTGCAAAATCAGTAGTGTTCTTGGTACATGCTCTTACTGCTGTCTGTGTATCTCTGTTTAGCAAGCTCCATTAGAATAGGGACTTTGTCTCTTTGATTCGTCACTGTATCCTCAGCACCTAATCTTTGTACATAGGTGATGGTCAGTAAAGAGTTATTAAGTGCATGAATGAGTGAATTTGGTTTTTTCAGATAAAATAAGGCCACTCTGACCAACCAGATGAAAAATCTCCAGTAAAGTCTGAAAAGCCCTGGTCTAAATTAAATTACTTTATAAACTGCTTCATACTAATAGGTTTAAAACAGTGCCATTTTTTAAAGTGCCCTCAAACCCACTCCAGTGATTGTCTTCACTCTCTGCCTGTAACTGTATTACTGTGAAAACTTTTGAAAAGGTTGTGGTTATAACTTTATTCTAAGTCTGTTAGAAGCCATAGTTCTCAGTGTAGGCTGCACATTAGATTCACCTGGGGACCGTTTTCTTAAAATTGGTTTTCATTCAGTCACTCATGTATTTTGTTGTACACCATTAATTGCAATTGTATAATCCCATTATTTACAACATCTTATTGAAACTTCACTGTACCCTTCTGTGGAGCCTTTTAAAACATTAAAAAAAATGCCTAAGTCCTACCTATCCCAAGCGTCCCTGGTGATATAGTTATTACACATAGCAACGCTGTAGGACAAAGTGCAACTGTCCCACCGCATTGTTCTCTAGTGGAGTGTAAACTACATCTTCACGGAACAGCTGAGCACCCAGCACCACCAGTATTACTCCAGCTACTAGGAGTGTTTCAGTCTATACCACTTGCTAATGTCCCTGCTCCTATGAAACAGTGTGAGCCAGTGAAGACATGGGTAGGAAAAAGGAGAGAGTTCTGCTAAAATGAGTATTGTATATCCATCTGGGAGAGAACATTTCCCACTCTGTGCACAGAGGAGGGAACTGAGAGGGCTTGAGCAGAAATGCAAGTAGGAAAGACTAGATAATATCACCAACATTTTGAGTTAGGTTAAAAAAAAAACCTCTAAAAACACAAAACGAAACTCAATTCATAAGAATTTCCAAGAAAATCAGTTTTACCCCAAATCTAATGAAAATGTTAAAGACGTATACCTAGGGTTAAATAAGCTCTGGTGATGTAATCGGGAAGGAATTCCATTTTTTTGGTTTGGTTTGGTTTCTGGGAAGGAGTTGTGTTGCCAAC